TTCGCCGGGGTTAGGCCAGGCACTTTCCAGTACATGGGGTCGGTGGTGTTGATGCTACACTCTGTGCATCTTTTTGCACAGATCCAGGTGTTGGAGTAGCATTTGAGTAGCAGTAGCATTCTGGGAGCGAGGTTTCAGTCCAGGGTCATTCGAGGTAGCCCTGCTGACGTCCGCAGGCCCGGAGTCCCTTTCTATGTTATTCAGTTTGCTATCGTTTGTACCGAAGCAGACAGTTCTATGTTTCGTTCAAACCTTGTATTTAGTATTCTCTAGTCGTTCGTGAGTATTGTGACACCAGTCTTGGGTAGAGGATTTTGTTAAGCTTCCGCATTTCTTTCGGTTAATTATATTTGAGACTTCAGCTTTATCATATTATGTTTTGTTTTCATTAAATGGACGATAATTGCTAAAAGAAGTAAATTGAGTTGGCTTGCCTAGCTCCTATTAGTAGGCGCCATCACGACTCCCGAGGGTGGGAAATCCGGGTCGTGACAAGTTGGTATCAGAGCTCTAGGTTACATAAGTCTCACAACTCACGGACAAACTCGGTAGAATCTGAGGGATCGGTACGGAGACGTTTGTATTTATCCCCAGAGGCTATAGAGTTAGGAAAGTTTCACATTTGTTGTTTCTTGTCGTGCGGTTCTATTTCTCAAGTACCGATTGAATTTCTACTCTGTTCTTTCGCAGATGGCGAGAACACGTGCTTCCTCTCCTAAATCAAGATCTATATTCTTTGGTCAAACAATACCCTTTCTTTTGGATGGGGGGAAATGGAGAAAATGAGATATTAAATTGCAGGGTTACGCTTGATTATGAATTAAAATCCTGTAAGTACAATAATTTAATTTTAACCATTCAACTTTAAAAAAAAGGATAAAATCTCTAGTGAGAATACTTGGTGTACCAAACTTAAACAATAACATATATAATGAAATTAAGTTTATGTTTCACTATTTACAATAGTTTACATAATTAAAAATTTATTTACTAACAATAGTATAATTAAGTTATTGTAAGGAACACGCGATAATCTAAACACATTAGATAGTGTGTAAATCATAAAATGAGAACTTACTTGTTCTTCGTAAAGAGGAAGCGAAAACAGATGAATCGCGGCTGAAATTACTGGTCGGCGGTGGTTGTCACGGTGTGTTGGAGCAACCCCCAATTTCACAGTCTAAACCCTAGCTCGGAGTCTTATTGTAGTGTACACACTAAGTGTACTTATATAGGAAATATTAGGGTTAACTAATAACCCTATTGGCCCTTAGAGCACCCCTTATGGGTGGACCCAATATTTCCTACATCTCCCACTCACACATAATGGGAGTGCTCATCTAGCCTGAGAAACATATTCTCAACTCATTTCCACAATCATTCATACAGGGAAGTAGATCGTGCGACCAACATACTGTGAGAGTTAAGTGTTATACATCTGTTAGGAGTATATAGCCTCTCGTCGAGCGCAAACCTGCAAGTAGATCATAAAGTATGCAGTACCCTAGATCATATAAATCACATTTGATATAGTCTCAAAATCTCATATATCATTATTTTTTATATTCACAATCATAACTCATAAGTTGTAATTGGTGCACCAGTAAATACAAATAAATGAAATTCCGTCAATGATCTTCCTCTTTTCACGATTCCCTTAACATTAGTATGATTGCTATGCTAGATATGCTCCGCTAGACCGAATCTGTGTTCATGGTCTTTTGGAAACACACTAAGATAGCTAACATCACACTAAGTCTCGAGTATCTGATCGAAGTCTCTAAGGGTACAAAATCTTGAGCTATCATAAAAGCTCTGGGTCTCACACAACAATAAGTTGAGAATGGACTTATGTTAACCCAATTGGTCGGAATTAGCACACATGGAATGAAACATGTGCTACAACATCTTCTCCCTTTTCCCAAGGAGTGTATGTCTTTATCTCATAAATAATGTTGTACAGATGAAATTTAGACATGACAAGTATCTAAATTTGAGTTCTTTGATCTACAATATCATTTTTAACTCACATCTGGCTCACAAAGTAGACTAGGTGAACGTTTTTCACCCTAATGACCTTATGTCATTGTTTAAGCAACATTCTAATTTTAAGCGAATAGCTCTCAAATTACCCTTATGATAATTTTGCTTAAAATCATGTCTCAACTCCTCACATCACTAAGATAAGGAGGCGGTTGCCTGTGTGAGAAGGCCAACCTCTTGTCTACCCGACATACTTATAAAAAAATATCATGACCCAAACCGATGGGCCACAACGGGTGCCCGAGTCCTACCTGTCAAATACCCCTAAGCATGCGTCTAAGATATAAACCTGAATATCTGCTGACTTATGAGAATAATATACATGAAGGGAACCTTCCCAAAAAGGCATACATACATATACGTGCAACATACATAGGGCGAGCCGACAAGGCTGCTATAGACAACTATATACCTCAAAACTGGAAGCCGACAAGGCCACATATTATCCAATTAGACATACTGTCTACAGAACTCTAATAGAAATATAATTGTACAAAGACGGAACTGAGCCACGTCATACCCATGTATATATACAAACATATCGTACTAAGATCAATAGCAGCTCCGGATCAAGTGGAGCACGCCAACTCTCGCTGATCAAGGATCCTAAGAAGGGGGACCGTCAGCTTGCCTACCTGCACGTGCGGGCATGAAACGAAGGCCCCGTGAAATAGGGCGTCAGTACGAAAAATATACTGAGTATGTAAGGCGTGAAAATCTGTACGTAAAAGGCATAAATGAAACATTGAATAAAGAAATCCATCTGTAAATCTGAATAACTTGGTAAATTCTGAAAACATTTACAATTTTATGCACGTGTATATAAGTGTCGTGTCATGCATGGGTATAGGTGTACATAACATCATCAAGCAACTGAGGGCATCCCATCATATCATCTCGGCCACTGTGGGCAACAACATCAACATATACCAACTGATCAGGTGGTAGAGCGTATATAACGCCGTAACCTTTTCCCATATCCTATATACATATATTTACATATATAGGCGTATATAACGCCATCTGGTCATGGGTCAATGCACATGTATAAATGGGTGAAATGCATGAAAAATACGTAATAATCTCAATATTCCTTCCGGATAAACTTTTTCAACTGCGTATTATTCTGAGACCCATGAACAGAAGATAATAATAATTCACATGGGGAATCAAGAATATAGACACCCCTAATATTTCTATGAATAGAGTAATTTNTTATTCTTGCTCGAGCTGGATGATTAAAAATTATCATGTCCAGTTCCCTCGGGGGATGGATCTATAAGAATTCACCTATCCCAATAACAAAAAAACCTGACTTGAATGATCCTGTATTAAGAGCTAAATTGGCTAAAGGTATGGGTCATAATTATTATGGAGAGCCCGCATGGCCCAATGATCTTTTATATATTTTTCCAGTAGTAATTCTAGGTACTATTGCATGTAATGTAGGCTTAGCCGTTTTAGAACCATCAATGATTGGTGAACCGGCAGATCCATTTGCAACCCCTTTGGAAATATTACCTGAATGGTATTTCTTTCCTGTATTTCAAATACTTCGTACAGTGCCCAATAAATTATTGGGGTTTCTTTTAACGGTTTCAGTACCTGCGGGATTATTAACAGTACCTTTTTTAGAGAATGTTAATAAATTCCAAAATCCATTTCGCCGTCCAGTGAAAACTTTTAGTTGACTAAAACAAAAATTAATAATTTTATCAAATGAGAAAAAATATTCAAAATGAGTATTTGCATGGAGTAACTCTATGCAAAATTAGTCTAATCTACATTACATTTATACTTTTAAAGGAGTGATGTGGTCAAGGGAATGTTGGGTCCACGTATCAAGGAGGACACAATTTGCATTTAAGAAATGTAAACAATACAATAATTTTTTTCGAAATGACATATATGCCGTTGGTTGACCATCTTTCCTTTTCTATATATATATATATATATATATATATATATATATATATATATATATATATATATATATATATTAGGGTTTAGATAATGAATATAGTTTTTCTTTCTCTTAAAATAATCTTTTTATTTATTTTAATCTTTCACTATATAATATTTGAATTTATCAATAATATTTTTGAGTATTAATTATTTATTTTCTTTATTTTATCATTTAAAATTAATTCAAAGAATAAATTCTCTCACACTATCTTTATCCCCCTCTTTTTAAATTATTTTCCCCTAGTAAGTATGATATTTTATTTAATTTTTTATTTAGTATTTTATTCAATAATAGACAAAAATAAAAGTGCATATGATCAAACTATAGTACTTCACCAAAATATTATGGTATTTTTATTATTAAACTTCTAGTAAGTAAAAGCGGTCTCGTAGTATATCCCGATCTCCGGTATGATAGGCCAAGTTCAAGATGCTGAGGTAGGGATCTCATCAATTCTGAGTCTGTACCATAACAACAACCCTCGAGGATATCGGGGTAGTGATTCGAGATCGCTCTTGACCTTGATTAACTCCGAAGAACATTGTCAGGTATTCAAGCTTGGCCAACTGAAGGCCGTGATATCCATGACCGACCGAATATCAAGATCTTGGCATATATGGACGTGAGATCAGCAATCAGTTAATTAGGGGATTTTTATCTTTTATAGAGTTGTACCTAATATAAGACTCTCCTACTATATAAAGGGGGTCTGATTACTTATAAAGGACATTGTGACACGCATTTCAAGCAATACATTATTTTTCCTCTTTAAGCTTTTATCCAATTGTGTCCTGTGACCGATCAAAGAGCATCTAATTCGAGGGTGGTTAATCTCCCAAGACTGTAATTGTTCAATTTGTGTGATTTGAATTTACCTTATCATTATTTATTTCAATTGCTGCTTAATTTATCACTTTGTGTCAAGTTAATCTGCATATGCTTAAAATCACTTACAAATTCAATGGTTATTCGATTTTGATGGTAAACAATATAAGAACAATATTTAGTTGCGATGGAGTAGATTATCTCAGCAAGGTTTTAGGAATACATAGTGATGACAAAGAAGATCCATTTTATAATAACCCGGACATATTTAAGCTGGTTGGGGTGATATATGGAGTTACATTGAACAACTTGAAAACAAGTAGAATGTGTGAATAGAAAAAGGAGGGAAAAAAACTTGTACAAGCTTGTGACGTTGCTCCTATGTTGCCACTGGAGAAGATTTGACTGCGGCCTTGAAAATGGTATCAAAAGCGTAGTCAATGCAGGATTTCAACTTGTTTGGATCTATAAAACCTTTCTCCACTACCATTGCTATTCTAAGCTTATCCACATAACTCACTATTGTCACTGAACAACTCTGCCAAAAACACAACACACAAATTGCTAAATGATTTATATTATATTAAATCGCTGTCAAGCAGACACAGAGCAGAGCAAGAATAAACATAATTGATATCAATTAATTATAGCAAAATCGATAAAGAAAATTATTATCTATCCATATTATCCACTAAAATATGGGTTGGATAACCAACAGATTTAATAGCCGTTTGGATATAAAGGGCACCTAGTGCGTTTGGATATAAAAATTATAATTTTTGAAAAGAAAAAAATAGTACTTGGAGTTAAGTTAAAAATGGTATTTGGAATTTGAAATTATTTTTGAATATGCATTTCACTTGAAAAAATGTTGTAGTTTTGAAAGTGGGAAAAAAAATTGAAAATTTTGAAAAAGTAGTCTTTTGAAAAACTCATTTTTGAATTTTTTTATAAACTTGTAAAATTTCATGGGCAAACACATTTTTGATTTTTTTTTTTTTTTTGAGAAAAAGAGAAAAAGTTGTATGAACAAATGGGGCGTTAGCTTTTACATAAAACTCAAATGGGGTTTTTTCAAGTTTGGGAAGATTACGAATTCTCCCAAATATGAATATCCATATTATCCTTTGGTTAACTTATTTTCTATCCGTATTAAATATGGTCGAATCAAATATTTTATTCTTTTTTGTATTATCCGTTTTCAACTCGCTCGTATCTAATCAACCCGCACGTTTGCCCCCTAATCAATATAGTGGTATGAATATTTTACCGGGATTTTTCTAAAAGGATTAGAAAATAATTAAGGCACCTGTGGAGCACCAGTCACAATAAAATATAGTCCTTTTACAGGATGATTAGCCAAAGCCATCTCTTCCACTGGCCCTATTAGATTTGTCAGTGCCATGCTTGTATTCTTCAACGTTCCATGAATAAATCGAGCTGTTGCCTGAAATTTCAAATTACTTTCAAATGTTTTTCTCAACAACAAATCAAATCCAGAACGTAATAGTGGTATAAGTATCTGATATTAAAATATAGAGGATGTATTTACAACTGAGTCACATTAATTACCAAATTGATTAGCGTAAATTACCCTATATTTTTGGGGAATCTACACAGTACTAACGGTCAATCTACACAGTACATCACCACTTAAATAATTACCGGAAAAATATATACTATTTAATATATTGTAATATATACTCCCCTGTCATTTTACTTCTCGAGTATTCTAAAAATAAATTTTTACTTTTACTTGTCACTTTTAGCATATCAAGAGAAGACAATTTCGTTTTCATGTTATACGCACAATATTAATTAATCATTTCAAATCGTTTTCTCAAATCCATTAAAAATATGCATAAATTAATATGGGTATCATGGTAAATTGCACTTCATTTATTAGTTTTTGAGGAATGTGCAAAGTCCAAAGTGGACAAGTAAAAGTGAACGGAGGGAGTAATATACATATATTATACACATTAATAGTGTATATTTGACTAAAAAAAAGGAGACAACCTAGTAAACAAAGCATCCCGCATTCACGCAGGGTTCGGGGAGTGTTGCACCCCAAGAGTACGGTTGTGATTTAGACAGCGACCTGTGACCTGGTCACACCGAGACAACTTTATCATTGCTCCAAGGCTTCTCTTCGTATACTTAACTAGAAAATATAATTATTTTTGATAGACGAGCAAATTATTAAAAGGCGAAGATTTTTGGTTTGAGTAAGATCAGAGTACATACCTCAGGACCTCTAAGCTTTCTCAAGAAATGAAGCAATTTACTAGTAAGCCAAACAGAAGCAGAATTTCTTTTCCTGTCGATCATTCGATGAGCTTTTTGAACAAAGGCAAGAGGATTAATAGAGGACCGATCATCACGTTTAGCCAAATTAGTTAGCGTAGGTAAAGAGACAGGAAGGAAAGTGAAGTGATTTCCCCAAGGCATATCAGAATTAGGCTTGATCATGTCATTCACTGACTTGTAACCTCCAAGAGCTCTAGTGTTGAATAAAACGAGGGCAGTACATTTTCCATTGCATGATTCCTTGTTTACTTCTTGCATGTATAATCTCGTACCGTATTCCACTATCCCTGTTATCACATCGTTTATTGTCTGTCACAAATCACAACCAAGAAGATAAAAATTAGTCAATCATAATAGCAGGATTTTCATAAGCGAAGATCATTATAATGACAGGCAGTGTCATTTTCTGTGTATCATATTTTCATTTTTTTAATAAATATCTAATGAAAATTTTTGACAAAGCGGCGTCACGTGACAATGCATGAAACAAGGTGAATACACCCCTGGTAGTTCGATTGGGTAATCTGAAAAAAAAAAAAAAAAACAGTACTAAGGTGTATAGTGAAAGAGGGGATCTTTTTCATCCACATTCCGAAAATGCTCATCGTTCACTAAACTAGTTAAGTAGCTGATATTTTAATGAGACATAATCGAATTAGGTAAAAATAGTAGTATTATATCTAGACGGAACCACAAATCCAGCGCTGTAATATATTTGACAAATATTACTAATAGTACCTGTTTTTGGGTTAAACAATTAATGTTAGGGGAGAAAGTACAAACACATGAATGCTGTCCTTTTTGAAGTACATTTTATAGGGGAGACAACTAGCTTGTGGACATTTTTGGAAAATAAGTACAACTGAAACACTCAAGAAGAATGTCCTTTTTGCTAAATGTAAAACACTCTAAAAGGACCAAGTACTACTGTAGAATAAGGTGTGCTACGGATTAAACCGAAAAGCCAAACCGGACCAGAGTTATATATATTTAATGTGTATATATACTTCTTCTATTTTAATTTAGATGACACACTTTTCTTATTAGTTCATTTCAAAAAGAATGACATAGTTCTACAATTGGAAATAATTCAACTTTAAACTCTTGTTTTTACCCATTTTACAATTAATGAGAAACTTTTATAACCACACATATGTCATGGCCCCACAAAGCTTTTACCCCTTAAGTTTTTTAAGACCACAAGCTTCAAAAGTCTTTTTTTCTTCTTAAATTTGTGCCGAGTCAAACTTGTATTGGTCGAAATTTGGCGACTTGGCAACACTGGATAAGCTAGACTGCGGACGGGGTCGACCATGGTGTGATAATTGTAGGTTGCTCTCAAGAAGACTGATGCCAAAGACGAGTAGCTGAGATGAAGGGATAACGGTAGCATAGGTTCAGATATGGATATAAGGAATATTCCTTTGAATATTCCTATTTTGTGCTTTTTAGGATTTTTGTGAAATATCCCTTATAAATAGGAAGAGATAGAGAACAAAAGGAGATCTTCATTTTTTTTATGAGAAGAAAAACACTCTGTAAAAGGTTGACCTGAGAGAATATACTAAAGTTGTCTTGTTTATTGAATACATTATTCAAGCATACATTTTTTGATTCTACATTCTCAAGATCCAAAGATCCCTGAACCCTTTTATTCTCTTCTTTTCACACTTCTGTCAGGGGAAAGAACCATCCGAATCTTGCAATAATTGGGTAGTAAATTCCCTTTTGTTATGCATGTCGCATTTATCTATATTTATTGTATGTACATTTATGTTGTTGCATTCATGAGCATTTAATCAGCTCAAACACACTAGCTAACGTCGGTCATTTCGCCTACTTCATTTAATATTTGGTCTAGATTATATTATAGTTAACTAAGATTCACCCTTCTTCTCATCATTGGTTGATTTAACTAAAAGGTTTAACACTTTTTTGTCAAACAATTTGGTGCCGTCTGTGGGGAGTTTTTAGTTAAAATTTTAGTTTCTTCTAAATAATAAAAAGGGACAGTCATCTTTTCCTCATTTGCATAAACTAACAATGGGAGGAAAAGAGATGCAAGACAGAAAGCAATAGCAGGTGTCACTACGAACATTTTGAACGCTATCAACGAGGATGGCAGAGAAGACAATGAGAATGTGACATCAAGCGTTACGCCTACGTGGAGTGACTCGCCCCCTCCTCACGAAAGTGTCACTGCTTCACGCGAAAGGGGAGCTTCCACGTCCACAGCTGAGGAAGCATCACCAGCAGTAAAGAAATTATTGGAGGAGTGGCTGACAAGTACCCTCAATGACATACTCGACAAACCCGTTCAAAGAGCGAACCGGAATACCGCGTCGGCAGATGTCATAACGACCACCGATGAGCAACCAGCTCCCCCAACAAGTAACACTCACACCATTATTGATGCAGGCAATGATGCACTGACAACGATTCTAAAGAAAATAGAAGAAATGGAAAACGAAAATAAAGCACTCCGGACCAGATGAGAGAGAATCAAGAAAGGGTCGATAAAATACTGGGCGCCCCGAAACTGCTACCAAAATGAGATGTTGGCCGTTCGTCGAACAACCATATAGCGAGGAAGCGGCCCCGCATGCCATACCCAAGACCTTCAAAATGCCACCATATTTGAAGATATACGATGGCACCACAGACCTCGAAGACCACATCACTCACTATGTCACTGCAGTAAAGGGTGGCGATCTATCAAAGGAGCAAGTACCGACAATGTTACTAAAAAAGTTTGGCAAAACCCTAACCGGAGGAGCCCTAACTTGGTACTCACAACTACTAGCACGGTATATAACAACATTTGAAGAAATGGCTGATAAGTTCGTCACTGCCTACGCCGGGGCTAAGAAAGCGGAGGCCAGGGTGAACAAGCCGCCGTTAGGCAATCGCCAGACGAGGGACTCAGGGACTTCCTCGTTCGGTTTAACAGGGTGAGGATGAGCTCACCAAACGTATCAGAAGGTATGGCGGTGGCATCCTTCCAAAACGGGTTGAACAGAAGTGGGTCAAGGGCAACCAGGAAGCTGTTAAGCAGGCTTATGAAATACCCTCCCACCACTTGGGAAGAAATTCACAACACCTACTGTGCCGAGGTGAGAGCAGACGATGACGACCTTAATGGTCCAACCCAATATCTAACGTCAATCAAAATAGAGCCAAGGAAAGACCATCGTAATGACAGTCGAAGAGATCAGTCTGGAGCGTACCTCAATCGAGATAGGCATCAGCCCTATGTCAGAACCGCCATTCTACCGTCCCCTCGACACATGGAAGGGTCGTCCAGGCCGCACATAGGGACTCAGCGAAATGAAAGAGGTATGCCCCCACTCTTATCTGCTCACAATTTTTGTGTTTCTCCTTTAGAAATAGTGTACGCACTAGAGAAGCTCCGTACGAAGGTGAAGTGGCCGCAATAAATGAAGTCTCACCCCATTACCTGAAAATCGAACGTCCTTTGTGAATTTCACCAGGAGCGGTGTCACAAAACCGAGGACAGCATAGCCCTGCGGCAAGAAGTAGTTAACATGCTGAACCAAGGGCAACTGAAGGAGTTAATGAGTGACCGAGGATGAGCCAACTTTGGTCGTGGATGAGAACAACACCAAGGCCCTCCAAAGCCGCCCTCTCCTGCCGGCACCATTCAAATGATCATCTGTGGAGGAGATGAAGCAGCAGTCAACCACATAAAATTTACCAACACACACAAGTTGAAGCGGTCAATCACCCACAACCGGTATGATGACCTCGAAGAAAGTATCATCTTCGATAAGTCAGATACCAACGGTTTGATTTTTCCACACTCCGATGCTCTTGTCATCACATTACGTATTTCAGATACCGATGTAAAAGAATAATGGTAGACGACAGAAGCGGCGCGCGTATTATCTATCCTCGAGTGCTCGTACAAATGCGACTCGAGGACAAGATAGTACCACACTGCACAACACTAACGGGTTTTAACTATGGAGTCGAACGAACCTTAGGAGAAATAACACTGCCCGTCATGGATGGAGGCATCGCCTTAGAAACAAAATTATATGTCATGAACCAGGACAGAGCTTACAACGCAATCATAGGACGATCGTGGATACACGCCATGAGGGCTATCCCGTCCAGTCTGTATCAAGTAATCAAATTCCCTACCCCGTGGGGAATATTCAGCGTTCGAGGCGAACAACGCACAGCCCAAGAATGCTACCGTATCGGCCAAGATTGCACAATCACTCAACAGCTGAAAGGAACAAACTCAAAAGCATAGCAATTATCAAAGTCGCGGTCCGAACCCGACGATCGGAAAGACGTTATTAGGGACCCCGACATCGCGAAAGCCGCGGGATCAACAATAGAAGATCTCGATCCCGTTCAACAAGATAGCAACAACAACAACAAAAGGCCTATATATGCCATAAGCTCTCCGAGCCAGGTAAATTTCATGAGTTTTTAACCAATAACGCCGATCTGTTTGCTTTTTCCCACGCAGATATGCCTGGTATTCTGAAAGACGTCGCCAAACACAAATTGAACGTCAATCCATTCTACCCCCAAATACGACAAGCGAGAAGAAAATTCAACGTCGCAATCAACGAAATTGTCAGCGAGGAAGTGGATAAACTACTCGCTAACGGCTCAATCAGAGAATCAAAATATCCTCAATTGGTCGCCAATGTAGTATGGTAAAAAAGAAAAATGGGAAATGGCGGATGTGCGTGGATTTCACGGATTGAACAAGGCCTGCTCGAAAGACTCCTTCCCTCTGCCTCATATCGATCAGCTCATTGACGCAACGGCATGGCACGAGTTGTTGAGCTTCTTGGACGCCTACTCAGGTTACAACCAAATCCTCATAGAGGAAGAGGACCAGGAGAAGACTACTTTCATCACCCATCAAGGAACATACTGTTATCGAGTCATGCCATTTGGATTGAAGAACGCAGGGGCGACTTATCAAAGATTGGTAACCAAAGTGTCAAGAACCATCTCAGTAAAACTGTGGAGGTTTACATAGACGACATGTTGGTCAAATCAAAAAGAAAGGAAGATCATATCGACCACTTGAAAGAAGCCTTCGAAATACTGAGGCAGTACGGTATGAAATTGAACCCCGAAAAATATGTCTTCGGCGTAACATTAGGCAAGTTCCTCAATATCTTGGTATCACAAAGAGGCATCAAGGTCAATCCCGACCAATTTAAGGCCATTGAGGGAATATCCGAAGTGTTAACCAGCAAGAAACAGGTACAAAAGTTGACAGGTCGCATAACTGCCCTGTCAAGGTTCATCTCGCGATCCTCCGACAGATGCCACAAATTCTTTAACGTGCTCAAAAAAGACAATGGACTCCAATGGAATGCAGAATGCATCGAGGCCTTGAGAGAATTAATGGCGTACTTGTCATCTCCCCCGCTACTTGCTTAAGCAAAACCCGGTGAGTGCATCCTTATATACTTGGCCGTATCAGAAGTCGCAGTGAGCGCAGTATTGGTCCGCGAAGATAAAGGTACACAATCTCTGATCTATTACATTAGCAAAACTCTCGTCAACGCCGAAACGAGTACCCTCACCTCGAGAAATTGGCCTTGGCATTGGTCGTAGCTTCACAAAAGCTTAGACCCTATTTTCAATGCCACCCCATATCGGTGGTAACGACCTTTCCTTTGAGAGGTATCATGCATAAACCCGAATTGTTGGGGAGATTGGCCAAATGGGCCATAGAATTGAGCGAGCATGATATAACGTATCATCTGCGGACAGCGATAAGATCGCATGTACTCGCCGACTTCGCCGCCGATTTCAGCGCCAAAATAACAACCGAGGTCAAAAAGGAAATTTCACGGACCTCGTCTGATCTGCCCGACCTATGGGTCCTATACACTGATGGCGCATCTAACGCGTCAGGATCTGGACTGGGACTCGTACTCGAGGTCCCAACAGGCGTAGTCATCCGCCAGTCCATAGGGAGTCCTGATATGACTAACAATGAGGCCGAGTATGAGGCCGTAATTACAGGATTGAAACTAGCTCTCAAATACGGAGCACGGCGAGTCATCCTTAGATGCGACTCGCAACTCGTTGTCAACCAAGTCACATGGACTTTCCAAATCAAAGAATAGAGGCTACAAAGGTACCAGGCAAAAATTCATAAATTGCTACCGGGATTTGATGAATGTCGACTCGACCAGATACCTCGAACACAAAACATTAAAGCAGACGACCTCGCCAAATTAGCAGCGGCCACCAAGAACATCACAAAGCAAAACATGGTCACCCTCCTACATTCATCGATAGACCAACTCGAGGTACACTCTGTAAGTTTGACTTGGGACTGGTGCAACCGTATTATAGCATATTTGCAGGAAGGAACCAGCAAACAAAAAAGAAGCCAAAAAGCTTCGAATGCAGGCGGCCAGATACAGCCTCAGAAGTCACGAGTTATACAAAAGAACGTTTGGAGGCCCCTTAGCGAAGTGCCTAGGGCCGAATCAAACAAGGTGCGTACTCGAGGAAGTACACGAAGGCTACTGCGGCGCCCATACCGGCAATCGGGCCCTCGTCAGATGCCTCATCCGAGCAGGATATTATTGGCCCACAATGAAAAAGGAAGCCGCCGATTATGTCAAGAAATGCGAACGGTTCCAGAGATATGCCCCTATGATACACCAAGCGGGCGAGCACCTCCATTCTATTACATCGCCATATTCATCAAATAGGGAAAGGACATCGTCGGACCCCTCCCAGCAGGGCGAGGTAATGTACATTTTCTTTTAATTTTAACTGACTATTTCTCCAAATGGGTAGAAGCAGGTGCGTTCGCCCAAATACGCGAACAGGAAGTTATCACATTCATATGGAGAAACATCATATGCCGCTTCGGCGCCCCTAATGAAATCAGTTGTGACAATAGACCCCATTTCACCGGGAAGAAGATCGCCGAGTTCTTCGAAAAATGGCACATCAAGCAAATACTCTCCACGCCATATCACCCCGCCGGCAACGGACAACCCGATTCCTCTAACAAAATAATACTGAATATCTTGAAGAAAAAACTTGAAGATGCCAAGGGACTACGGCCGGAATTACTCCCAGAGGTACTATGGGCATACCGCACCATGCCGAAAACAAGCATAGGAGAAACGCCATACTCACTAGTCTACGGGACTGACGCCATGATACCGGTTGAGGTCGGTGAACCTAGTCTGAGATACTCCAACAAAAGTGGGCCGAGCAACGACGAAAACAAAAAACACGACCTCGACGAAGCGGAGGAGCGAAGAGACATAGGTTACGTAAGAATGGTCGCCCAAAAGCAACAAGCAGAACGGTACTATGACAAAAAAGCCAAAGTACGACCACTCAAAGTAGGACACTATATACTCAAGGCTAAAACACAAGCGAGCAAAGATTCGAAAGAAGACAAACTAGGAACCAATTGGGACGGGCCATATAAGATCACGACGGCAGCAAACAAAGGATCTTTTCAACTAGAAACTATGGAAGGAAAACTACTACAAAACAATTGGAACATCGCCCACCTCAAATACTTCAACTTTTGAAAACAGACGCCCCCGTGTCGTACTCTTTTTCCCTCATCCAAGTTTTGTCCCAATTGGGTTTTCCGGGAGAGGTTTTTAATGAGGCGACAAAGGGGATGTCTCGAAGTTCAAGTATAATTCATCGCCCCTCCTGCCGACTACTTCTCCAGGCCGTACGATGAAGGGACTGGATACATGGAAACTTCTCCAATATATGTATGGAATGAAGAACGCTTGTAACATTCTCCAATGAATAAAATAAAGCAGCATATTTTACTCTCCACCACGATATTCTCCAATGAATGAAATAAAGCAACATTTTTACTCTCCACCAAGTCTCTTCTCACTCCACATTCGACCTCGCTCGAATTACTTTACATTCGACCTCGCTCGAATTACTTTACATTTAACCACGCTCGAATCGCCACACAATCAACCTCGCTCGAGTTAGTTTACATTCGACCTCGCTCGAATCACTTTACATTCGACCTCGCTCGAATCACTTTACATTCGACCTCGCTCGAATCGCCACGTATTCTACGTCGCTCGAGTTATTTTACATTCGACCTCACTCGAATCGCCACACATTTGACCTCGTTCGAATTATCTTACATTCGACCTGGCTCGAATCGCCACACATTCGACCTCGCACAAATCGCCACACATTCGACCTCGCTCAAATTATTATGCTTTCGACCGCGCTCGAATCGCCACACATTCGACCTTGCTCGAATTATTTTACATTCAACCTCGCTCGAATTACTTTAAGATCTACGATCGACTACGCCAAAACACTACACGCAAGCGGCCAAAAAATTTAGGGACCTCACCGCATAGCAAAGAAAAAGACAACGACAATCTAGAAGTACATAGAAAAAAGGTAATCATTCCATTACAACTGTCATATTACAATGCTTTTACAAAGGGCCCAAAGACGCCCTCACAAAAATAACAGGACAAAACAAAAATAAGTACAACGGCCTTACGTCGCGTCATCCCCATCGGCGTACTCATCATTATACCAAGAATCGGAGGCGAGCCTGTCCGCATCATCATCAACATCATCCCCGCCAGGAGTACCGGGGGCATAACCACAAGTTTTACGGGCCACACATGCTATAACACGGACACCCTCGAGTTCTGACTCGGAAACTCTCCTGTCGGCCTTCAGGGACTTGTACACATCAAGCTGAGACTCGGCGTGAGCCCACATCTCATACAACTCCCGCGGCACGACGGGGTTGAGAGAAGTATGAGACGTAGATGGCTGCGACGGCCATCGCACTTCCTCAGCCTTCAAAGCAACAACCTGCTCATTTAGTCCGGACAACTCCGCCTCCAGATCATGGATCCGCTCTTCTAACCTCGCCACCTTGAGCGCCGATGTCTCCACCTCATTATCCCGCTCAGAAGTACAAACGCAGAGGGAATCATCTAAGGTCGTTGCTTCAGACATGGCGGCCATTCTACCTTTTTCGACACGAGTCAATTCCTCGACCTTAATGCTCAACTCGCCCCTCAGATCGACAACCTTCGTTTCCCTCCGCCCAAGCTCAGTAGTTAAGGAAGCCACCCGCGCTTGAATATCGGCGTTCTCAGCCATCATCCCCTTGCTCACCTCGAGCTCATCCTCCTTGGCCTTAAGAGCCGCCTCAAGCTCGCTACATCGACCTATGGCTTTCATTAGCTCATCATCCCGCTCCTTCAGCTCCTCACCAACTCCTCCTCCTTTTGTTTGAGCCCATCACGAAACAGCTGAAACTCGCTATCTTGGTTAAAGACGTCGGCCAGCATTCGGTGCTGGTACGGTACTCTTTGTACTTAGATATCACCTTCTTAAAAATGGCCGTCCTCCGCTCCTCCCGCCGGTCACGCTCGATCTACATGATGAGAGTTTGACATGAAAAAGAAAGAAGTCCGCATAAGCGGAGTCCGCATAAGCGGATTACGCAAGTGAAACAAACCCTAACATTAAAAAACACTTACTCGCAAAGCCATGCTAGAAATACTCAGCGATTGCTCTGCATCACTCATCGTCTGTAGCGCTGTGTTCTCAGAAGCCGCGCACAAAGGGGCAAAGGACGACACCACCCGTTCAGAGTTAGCCAAAAGTTCATAACCCATGGGAATGATTACGTGCCGGTTAGGACCCTCCGTCCTCACTTCCACACGAGTTTTCCTCTCCAAGAAGGCCCACACCTCTTTAAGATCGATGTCCGAGCCTGAACCGTCGTCCCCCACAAGTACCGCTCCATCTCCTCCGGTTGCCGACAACGCGCCACCTTTTGCGGTCCGTACAGGCTCCCCGCCTTCATGTACTCCCTTAGCCATAGAGGACCTCCCCACCATAATAGCAACCGCCATAAATACGGCCCCTGCGTTTGGCACAAGTGCGGGCGCCGCTCCCGGAGCAATGGTTTTCCTCGGTTCAATACCGGTGACGACGGCCTTCCCAAGATCCATTCTTTGCCTCTTTCTCGATGGCGACTCCTCTCCATTAGATGACTCGTCTAAAAGGTGGCAGACAGGCCGGGAAGAGATCTCATCCCGTACAGCAACGCTCTGAGCGGGGTAATCCCTCGTTGACGGAGCTTCAGTACGACCCTCACAGACGGACTCAGCCAAAGTAAATTGCATCCCTGCCGATGCAATAGCCTGGTGAAAGGCAGGCACTGGAGCTTTCTTCTTGGAAACCCGTCAACCTAGCACCAAAAAGAGGTCGTATCAACGAGTAATGGCGAATAAAGAAAGCTGAAGAAAAAGTAACACTTACTAGACGGGACCTTCGGCCCAAAGCGTTTGTAGAAGACCGCCCAATCACGAATCCCCACCATGTGGGGTAGCACGCGAGCCACCTAATCTTCAATGTCGAGGACAAGGGAAGGTGTACGCCTTTCAGCTAAAAAATAGAGACCGCAAATGAGCCAAAAACGAAAGGAAAAAAAAACAACAACGAGCTTATTACAAACACTTACGATTATGGTTCCACTGCTCAGGACCCAATCGGGTCCGCCGCCAAGTACTCGGTCTTGATAAAAAAGTACTCGTGCCAGAACTTCCGATTCGTCCTGTCGTCCATTCAGACTATCAGCCCTCTGGTGCCGCGATGACGAAGGTATATCATGGTACCCTTATAAAAACTTGGCCAGAATAAGTGCAGCAAGTGACGAACATCAACCTCAAAATCAGCCGATTCCGCATAATTCATCAGCATCAGAAAAGCTTTATACAGATAAGGAGAGAGTTATGTCGGGCAGACGTTGTAAACCTGACAAAATTCCTCCTCTAGTGGAAGAAGAGGAAGAGTATAACCGATCAAGAACGGGTAGACACAGAAAGCACAATACCCAGGTCAATGGACCTCCACGATATCGCCACCAGCCAGAACTATTTCGACGTGAGGGGGGATGCGATATGTGGATCGAAGCTCAGCTATATGAGACGGATCAGTCTCGGAGATCACTTGAGCGAAAGCGGGAGCAGGCTCCTTGGGAAAATCATTTCTGATAACTATCTCCTCCGCGGTAGGAAAACTCTCATCCTCTTCAGCCATAAATGCCTCACCACCGAAAGGAGGAGCCACCGATAACGGAGTGGCATCAGAAACTTCATCATAAATTCGAAGAGTTTGTGACATGTTTTCGAATGGAGTTCATGCAAGGAACAGGATGGGAAAGCTTCTGAAAAATGAAACCCCTATCTATTTATAAGGGCTGGGTGGCGCGAGAATCGAAGCAAAGGATTGTCAACGGCACTAAAACCAAAGCGACAGGCACGCAGACGCTGTCTCGAGAAGATGCGTAATGATGATGCGCGTGGCTATGGCGTCACCCTATGATAGCCACACCAATCACGACTTCACTAGTTGTGCCATTCCATCCACCTCGGTCGACCCGACTTATTAAACACAACCAAATTCCTCCGAAACGGAGGCAAATCAGGTCCGCTCATAGAAGGCGTACAGGACCACGACCTCAATAAGCGGAGGGACTAACTGTATTGGTCAAAATTTGGCGACTTGGCAACAGTGATAAGCCAGACCGCAGACGGGGTCGACCACGGTGTGAGAATTGAAGGTTGCTCTCAAGAAGACTGATGCCAAAGACCGGCAGCTGAGATGAAGAGATAACGGTAGCATAGGTTCGGATATGGATGTAAGGAATATTCCTTTGAATATTCCTATTTTGTACTTTTTTAGGGTTTTTGAGAAATATCCCTTATAAATAGGAAGAGATAGAGAACAAAAGGAGATCTTCATTTTATTTTATTTTATGAGAAGAAAAACACTCTGTAAAAGGTTTACATGAGAGAATATACTAAAGTTGTCTTGTTCATTGAATACATTATTCAAGCATACATTTTTTGATTCTACATTCACAAGATCCAAAGATCCCTGACCCTCTTTAGTCTCTTCTTTCCACGATGTTGTCAGGGAAAAGAACCATCCGGATCTTGTAATAATTGGATAGTAAATTCCCTTTTGTTATGCTTGTCGCATTTATCTATAGTTATTGCATATTTATGCTTGCTTACTTACTGGCCTATTTGTACTATGGTATACATATAATGCTTCATTCTTCATCTTTAAACACGGATAAAGATTTACTTAAAGAATTAATTTACATGCAACAATATATATTTTGATGTTTTTTATTCTATTAATGTATTATAATTTGTTGTAGCAGGTAATCGAAAAGTAACATATAATTAGGATGTAATGTTTATACTACTTACCACGTTCAAACTGGCCTTGATTTGTTTAAGGCAATCAAGCGAAAATGTTTTGGTAGTAACAACAATCGGACGAAACTCTACTCCTTCATCACCAGATCGTATTGCCGTCCGATCATCTTCAACCAAAGTACTCTTCAAAATACTCTCTCCAAAATCATACACTGTATTCACAACCCCCTTGAAAAATCTAGGCACAACTTTTAAAACACTAAAAGCTTTATCTTTCGAACTCAAAGTTGTTCTTTGACGTGAAGGAAATGTTAAAGGAAGTGAAGGATTATCAACTCTTTGTAAACAAGAAAGAAGAGCTCCCATTAAAGAATAACCATCTCCAAGAGAATGATGAAGTTTGAAAATTACACTTCCAGCTGCATCTTTTGTTGGGTATTTGAATATGTGAATTTCCCAAAGTGGTCTATTTTGTGGGAATTGTTCCGTGGCTAAGTTTGATATATAGTTGGAGAAACACTCATTATAGAAATCGAGTGTTTGTTCACTAGGAAATATAGGTGTTCTAATATGGTCTTCGTAGTTCACTTCCACTCGCTTCCATTTCCTTGTTCCTTTCTTTCCTGTTACCTATTTAGAGAAGATAGGAACTTTCATTAACACATTTAAATTCAAAAGAATATGCTTGTAATTTTTTGGTTTTGCACTTAGAGTTTAGCTTCTATATAGTGAGAGTGTAAATAACTTTTATACAATGAGGTTACTTAACGGTAATTACAGGTAACCTGAAAAAAATGAGGTTATTAATTAGTAACTTGGAAAAAATTAGGCATGTTACCTGCTTCTATAAAAAAAAAAAAAATACATTTTTGGCGTAATTCAACCTCCTCATGAGGTGATGATTGCACAAGACCGTATAAGAAGACTAATTACCCTAACACACAACCAATGTGGAACTTATAGCATTACCATGCATGCTTAGGACCGAACATCTAGAACGTGGACAATATAACATAGGGGTCAAATATCGGGTAACCAAGAATTAGGACGAGTCTGGCTCTGCTAGCTAGCATGCGATAAGGATTGTCCTGGACCATATAACTAAGGTGATCATTATCCATGCCACAATTAATCCGAGACTTGTAACCGTGAGTAATTATTTGTACTATCAGTATATATAAGTTAAATCTTAAATGAGAAAAGAGAGAAGTAAAAGGAAAGAGATAGTACCATGATTGAGGAAAATCGTGGATTTATAGGTACAAAGACATCCTTGAGTAAATTTAAGGGCAGTGACTCTTCATATTCAATTGGAATTTTTGATTCCAAGACAGCAATAACACAGAGTGATAAGTTGGAGCTGTTTAAATATTGTGAGCTTGGACTTGCTGGCTCAAATACTTCTTCTTCCAATGCTATGTCCATTTTCTTGGTTAATTCCTCACTATCTTATAAGTCAATAAGAGTACTACTCTGTAACACTTAGTTTAGCATTTGGTATGTAAAATCATGTATATATAGATGCATATGGTGACCCTGAAAATGAATATATACTATTGTGTGAAATAATGATACTCAAGTGGAAAAGGTCTTTCTTGGTCGGCTTTAAATTTAATTGTGATGGGGATATTTATTTGCTTTGATTGGATAATTATATTCTTACGTATAACTTAAGTGCTTTTCGTGGTTTTTGTTCAGAAAAATATGAGAGAAAACAACATATAAACTCTGGAGTGTAACATCTATCTTACGCGTAGGAAGGAGGCATCCTTTTCTCAACTGTTTTTTTGAGAAATTTATGTTCAAACACAACTGTTAGCAATGAATTTGTGCGAATTCGCTGCTTTTACACTAAATCTCCCCTGAGTATCCACACTTCAATTTTAATTTGTCCATTTTGGTATGAATGCTCAATCAGTTAGTAAGTTCAACTACTTTTTGGTCCCTATAGTCACAGAGTCCTTATAGTCCCGAATTTAAAATTTATGAATTTAGAATTGTAGTCCGTTTACTAGGTTTTAAATCAGTGTCGAAATTGGGAATTTTCGGACGGTCTTCAAACCTAAAAGAATGTAAAAAAATTTCCCAACAAAGGGTGTTCAATATATATACCTCGAAAACCCTAATATTGTATCTATATATAATGTGTGATTTTTCGACGAAATGTAGCTTTGTCCCTGCTCTAAATTAAAAATTTATACATATTTAATAAATTTCTTAAGACAAATACAAAATTTGGCGCAAATTTGCTGGTTTCGGCTGAACTCATATCCTGCATCCCTGCCTACAAATGGAGCATAGCGTCTACAGTTTCAATTGAAATCAATATTTTATTTTCACAGCATAGATACAACATATGTATATTTAACAAATATTAAAATCTAAATCCATAAATAATATTTTAAAAGTACAATGAGGAGTTTAATGTTATGAAAATTGAACCAATTAAATTTAAATCATAGTCTCCTAGATCCGTCTCTTTATTCTTATATTAAGAAAGGAGAAAAGAGAAAAGGGTGCAAACCTAGTGGATGTTTGGATATAAGAATTGTAGAATTCCGGAAAAAAGTAACAAAAAAAAATTCAAATGAAAGTGGTATTTGAAAATTAGAGTTGTGTTTGGATATGAATATAATTTTGGGTTGTTTTTGAATTTTTGTGACTGATCTGGGTGAAAATTTAAAAAAAAAAGCTTTCTAATATTTTTCAAATTTTCAAAAGATTCCAAAATTCATCTTCAAGCGAAAATTGAAACTTTTATAGCCAAACACTAATTTAGAAAAAAATGGACTCTTAAAAGATAGTAGGAATGCTGATTGAAAGTCGTACAACTCAGTAACATGCTCATTGACTTAAACCCAAAAAAGGATACTCCTAACAGCTAGTATAATGGTTTCCAATCCTAAAAATGCTAAAGTAATTGATTAATTGAGACATCTCAACTTCCATAAGTAAATGTAATAGGGACACCTATTCTTGTGGTCTAAGGCTGAAGTACAGCAAAAGTAATTGGACTTTTCATGTTCATTTATTTGGGTTGCAAAACTTCTTGACATATGTGGTACAATTTTACAAGAAAATAATATGAAATCAGAAACTTAAAACCAAGTTTGGTGGGCTATCGTTAAATTATTTCCCAAGTGTCTCCACAATTATGGAATCGTGTTTACTAGTTGCGCCATGAAAATGAAAGCTGGAAATAAATATACGATAAGAAATTAAATATCGTTCCAACTTGGTTTAATCTTTTGGTACAAAAGAAAATAAGAGACAATCATTTTATCTTTTGAAACGTATGATTGTTACATTTTTGTCTTGTGCGTTTGCTATTTTTTTCCTGGATAGGGAAATGTGAAGACAGATGAGCGATTGAGGAGTTCATTACTCAAATGGTCACTCAACTATCCCAAATTATATCATAAAGTCATTTTTCTTTTGTTTGTAACCACAAAGTCACTGAACTATGCCTATTGCACTCAGAAGGCCACTCAGCTAGATTTTCCAAATTTTGTATTGCCAAATACCTATTTTACCCTCTAAATTATAAATATTTATCTTCTTTTTATTTTGTTTTAAAAACTTTTTAATATTATGATTTTCCCTTTTTACTTTACATTATGGACTTACCTATAGAATAAATAAATATTATTTATAAATTAAAAAAATAAAAAGTATTTAAGCATATATAATGCTGGAATAACAAAATAATGAGATATTAAAAAAATTAATTAGAATATTTGTTAGTAATAATAATTTTAGTATTAACAACAAAAATTTAAAAATTTAATACACAATTCAGAATAAAAGAAAACAAAGTTTGTAAAATATATATTCCATGCACGTAATATAAAAATAATTATTTGAATAAAGGTATTTTTATAATATACGTTATATATTCTTGAAAATTATATATATATATATATATATATATATATATATATATATATATATATATATATATATATATATATATTTTACCCTATATACAGATAGTCCCTCTGCTTTCCGGTGACATACTTTGTGTCGTCGAAAAGTTGGTAGAAACATGAATAATTGCGTATAATTTTCAAGAATAAATAATGTATATTGAAAAAATATATTTATTTAAATAATTATTTCTATATTACGTGCATGGAATATATATTTTACAACCTTTATTTTCTTTCATTCTGAATTGTGTAAATAAATTTTGAATTTTTGTTGTTAATACTAAAAAGTTTACAAAAATAAATAAAATAAAGATAAATGTTTATAGTTTAATAGAGGGTAAAATTGGTATTTAACAATTCAAAATTTAAAAAATCTAGTTGAGTGACCTTCTGAGTGCAATAGGCATAGTTCAGTGACTTTGTTGTTACAAACGTAAGAAAAGTGACTTTAGGAGATAATTTGAGATAGTTGAGTGACCATTTGAGTAATTGACTCAGCTATTGAGCCAATTATTTGTAAAACTATACTAATATAATCAACTACCCATTCAATTCATCTGTACTATCATTTTACCCTTAAAAAATGGATCACAATTGAATTTATATGCGGTTTTAAGGATATTTGAATTAATTCAGTACAAGTGACTAATGACATTAGATTAAGCAAATGAAAGATGTAATAAATGGCCAAACCAATTATAAGGGTGATTCCGAGCTCGGTTGATGGCTCGATGAGGAAACTGCCCTCGATTCCGAGCTTGCACTTATGAATAACTTAAGAACAAGAATAAGAACTTTGAACAACCGAGAGAATAGAAATAACTTGCCTTGATATGCAGGTTACAGTGTATCCCACGAATAATAATCTTCCCCCTTATACAGTAGGAGAGTTTTACCCTAAGTACAATTCTAAGAAAGGTAAAAATCTTTTGTTTTGCTAATCACTGATTTTCTGTTAATGCGGGCCGAGATTCACGTTGTGATATCTAGTTACGTACGGCCATCACGGTGATCACACTCAACTATGCCTTATAAAAAGTACTAAGCGGTCGTTGCAAATATAATCCAGTTTACAAGTCCGGAGTCGAATCTCAGAGAGAACTGAGGCTTAGCTACAGTTGTTCAGTATCGCTAAGAAACACAAGTCCAAATAATTTACTAGTGATAAAAAATATAATATTTATTTCTATCTAATTAACTAACAAATCGAAAAAGCAGTAAAACTATCAATTAACTAAGGAGACTAAGAGTTGGAAACAAGATTAGGGAGGTCTAGAGTTATGATTTTCCCAATTGTCGGAATCCTTCCCGCCGTGTCTTCTATAATTTCGCCTAAGTATTCTCTACGGATCATGAATACTTCGGGTGTAGTAATTCTCTTCCGAGCAACTACCACAATTTACTACACGTATTCTTCCGAATTTACGCTAGCTGGTACTAGTGCATCGCTCACTAAGATTGCACCAAGGCTTCATTATTTCTAATCCACCTTTAAACCCTCTGTATTGATCCCTCACATATGTTAGGAGTGATGTTGTTCAACAACTACCTAAATATGTACCCTTTTCCAAGCAACAGACACTAAATAGGCACTGTCAAATGATGGTCATTCAATCAACAACAACAAACACGTAGTTGAACAAGTAGAGAAATCCAACGACTCAATTTTATAAAAACATAACAAGAATTCATCCTCCAAAAGGTTCCATCAAAATCCAAGATAACAAATTAACTATTTATAGTAGTAACCAAAATTACAATACTAGAATTCATAACCAATAATGAAAATAGAGGAAGAAAGAGGGAAAAACGTGAAGTTGAATACTTCTCCTTGCTCCAAGCGTATTCTTGCCTCTCCCAAGTCTTCTCTCCTTCCAAAATAGTGTCTCTTTACCAAAGTTTGCGTTTTAGGGTGTATTTATATCACTTAGGGTTGATGATGGGCGGAGTTTTTCAATCCAACTTTAGATGGGAGAAGTTGGGAATCCACGTCTGCCTTCGCGCGTCGCGCGCCCATGGACGCGGATTCAGCTGTTGAAATTCTTCCATTTCGCGAAGCGATCCGTGCCTTTGCTTTACTTCGCTTTTTATGCCTTCACTTTTCTCCTTTTTCGCATCCGTTTTCGTGCCACGCACGAGACTAGACGGACTCCCAATTCTTTCCATCTCTTCCATTTTGTGTCAGATAGTCATATTTTGATCATTTATCATCCAAACTCGTTCCTACCATAAGAAACACATAATGAGCATATTCGCTTCAAAAGCCACGTAGTTTTCCGCGACTCACACAAGAATTAGTATGCAAATATACACAAATATATGCACTTTTTATCATTTATCACGACCCTTTGTTAGTCGTGTGCATTTGTTTGGTAATGCCCTTCGAAGTCTTGATCCTCGAACCGGACCCCGAGGACATGGCCCAGATACCCACGACGGCAGGTGTTTTCCCCGAGCCCCGATATAAGGGGCTCCTCGCTCTGACTCCGATTGATTACGGTCACATTCCTGCTCCGTTTGGCTTATCGAGAAATCGAGGTGTTTAGTGAGCCCGATTTTACTCGGATACACTTATCATTTTTTT